ATTTTAAAATTAAATAATCCAAAAATAAAATATTTGGTAAATTATTTGTCAAAGCTATATGTAATAATGAAGATACAATTAAAAAAAGCTCAAAAATAATAAAAGATCAATACAAATGTCTATTACAAAAAAAACCATAATTCAACATGATTGATAAGATATAGTTACTTTGTTGCAATATCTAAATTACTTATCTTTATAACAAGTTAGACTATCATAAGCTTGGATTTTATTTTTTTGTGAATGAGTCAATATTATTGCTTATCAATTACATCTACTAGAGTCTTTGAAGATCCATCATGTATTCCACTTGCTTCTTTTCAAGCTAAATAAGATAGAAAATATTTTAAGAAGAAGACAAATGCCACTTCTTTCTATTAAATTAGAAGAAGTCTTAGATTTAAGATGGGTCCAAAATAGGTTAAAATATCTTATTCATTGATTCAAATATGATATTAGTAAAAGCACGTGGAAACCAATAAATAATCTTTCAAATACAACAAAGAAGATTGAAGCTTTTCATTGACAATATCTATCAAAATCAAAATAAAGAATAGTAAGATCCATGAAAGATGATGATTGCTCTTTGTAGAACTTATCTGTAGAAGGAAGAGTAATACCATATATATATATATATATATATATATATATTTATTTATTTTAATAATTATCTATATGATTAGATAGAAATAGATAAATGTAGATTAATTTCATAATAATTTTTAGAATAGCTTCTTAAAAGCTTGATAGTTGCGGATTTGACTTTTTATGTTGTCATATTATGTGTTGTCTTGTTTGGAAATGCACTGGGTACGTAATTGTAGAAAGTAAGATTGTGTTTCATAATTATTCAAAAAATCCTAATAGATTCTATCTATATGAGAAGAATATAATCCAAATTTCAATTCAAAAGTACTAAAAAACACTCTTCTTAGTAGCCTCAATCATACATAAATCCCAATCACCTTGTTACTTTCATATTTAAGTAATTTAGATTTTTCTTATAAATCTTAATCCTAATCAATGAGCTTTGACAAGCTGTAACTTCTAATTTGATTTTCTACTTGATGTAAAATTTTTCATAAAATTGTCAATATAAGTCTTCTATATGCTCAAAAAAATTCAGTTCAATCTAACTTACAAATTATGAGAAAACCTCCAAAAATTGCACTAATGTCACTTGGCTACTAACTTAAAAAGTGATGTAGAAGTTCTAGCACTGATTTCTCCTTCTCCAACTATTAACTTCAACTCAAAATTAGTGTTTAGTTTGATCTTTAAGTCTTCCAATACCATGCCAAATTTCACCTTTATCCAATAAATGGATCTTTAGATATCATAGAAATCCTATCGAACCCAAAATTACTAACTTTCGAAATCCTCTTGTGCTAAAAACCAAATATCTTTAAACTACACTATTAGATTAACACAAAATTTTGTATAAAATTAGCACATCCAAAAATCCAAATAGTACCAAATTTTGAATTATAGATGTTATACCAATTGCACGAACTAGCCAAAAGTACTAGCCCTAATTGTATTACATAAAATCCAGATCACCAATACAAGTCCTAACTTTGAACAATAATTGCAAAGTCTTCACAAATCCTACAAAAAAAATCTTATGCCTTTGATAAGAGCTTTAAGCTAGCTCTCTAATTCTTATCATTGATCTTTCAAATCTTCCTTATTTTGCCCTTGGCCTTTGTTTTTTTGGCTAGCAGACTGATTTTGACCCTATTCTACAAATACTCAACCTCCAAGTATCAATCTAATCTATTCTAAGGATTTTTTAGCCCAATCCTATCCTCAATTTAATTCCAATATCAACCATATCAACTATTTATCTCTTCTATCCTAATTTTATTAATTTATGGCCTTTTTAAAGTAGTAAAAGAGTTTCTATGATCTAGAAGGTAAAAATACTAACTAACTTTTATCTACTTGATATTAAGACAAGAAAATATGCTTAGAGGCTTTCATAAAAGCCTTATTAAAACATATTGAATTCTTATTTAACTAAGATAATAGAGTATTAATTAAAAAATTATTTTTAGTCATATTTTCACTATATAATCGTGTCAAAACACAACAACGTGCTTGTAGTTGATTGGTAGGAACTTGGTCAATAAATTAACCACATGCTATACATATTGATAGCTTGTGAAAAAAGTTAATTATATGGTGCACATATAGAAAACTTGCCTTACAAGTTAAGACATGTATTTAGTAAAGTCAATACGTGTTGAAGGTCTTGTAGAACATTACCACATAGCTCCTAGTTAGATAGTATATATGGACACAAGAGTGGAGCCTTCTTCACTCTTGTCAATGTCTTTGTAGTCTTTAATCTTGTTTCAAGATTTTTTAGTTTTCTTGTCTTTAACAATAGCCATTTTAGTTTAATACAATATCATTTTTGAATGATTTTATAATCTTTTTGAGTAACACAAGAGTGTATTGACCTTTTAGTACTTTGAGGTTCATGTCTTTGACAACGGATTAGGTTGTGATATAATTTGAGAGCTTTGTTATTTATTTAGTTATATATATATATATATATATATATATATATATATATATTTGTATTTATTTTTAAGATTTATTATTCATAAATATTGATTATTATTAGTAATAAAAATAAAATATCAGTAATATTTATAAAATAGTTTTATTACTCATCTTAGTAATTGTTGGATAATTGTTGGAGAATTGACTTGATTCAATTTTAAGATTGTATTTTAATTTATTCAAAGGAATTTTATAAAAATATAGTTTAATTTATTTTTAAAGATTTGGTATTGAATATTTAAGAAAAAATTATGGTTTTCTACATATTAAAGAGTAAACAAGAAATTGTTTGATATATTAGATTTGTAGTGTATATACAAACATACATATTTGTATGTGTATATGTATAAAAAAAAATCATATATATTGATTAAAAGGTGAATAAAAGATAATCATATCAATTTTATTGAAAATAGATTGTAAGTTTATTAAATTGATGATACAATTTTAAAAAATATTTTAAAAATTAATGAGATATGATATTGGAATAAAGAAAAAGAGAGCATATTGGAGTTGGAATGTAAATAGTACCTTGCAAATAAAGAGTAGGAAAGTTTTAAAAAAATATTAAAAAAGAAGGAGATAACATTAAATTTCATGAGCAACAAGTGTTTTAATATGTAAGAGGGAGGGCCTATGCTTAGGTTTAATTTCTTCTAATGTATTTGTTAAAAATATTGATTTAATTATTTTGTATGTTTAAAATTTAAAATTTTATTTTAAGTAATATTATTATTATTATTATTATTATTATTATTATTATTACTAATATATTATCTATTCTACTTATAAAATTATTTATTTTAAATAATCATTGATATTTTTCTATGGATATTAGATTAATTATTCAACAATTAAATCTCAATTTTTTTTGTCAATATAACTTTATTATAAAAAATAAATTAGTATTGTATTAACTTCTATTAATATTATTAATATTTTTAATCAATTTAAAAAACACTTTATGATTATTTTTTTTCTAAAATCTCTAATTATTTTTTAAAATATTAAATATGTTATATTCAATTAAATTAGATAAATTTATTTAAAAAACATTTAAGATATACAAGGAACAACATATATATTAAAATTAAAATGTGTGATGGCTGATATATACTATATTTGATATATGTGATATTGGATATTTGATATATACGATATATACTATATATATATTTTAAAAATTATTTATATTTAAAATTAAAATCAAATTAATAGTAATATATAAGAATACTTAAATATTCTTTAGAAGAATCTTATAAAATAGATTTTTAATAATTTAGATATTAAATATATTTAGTATCATAATGTTCAAAATTTATTTAGTATAATCTAAACTTTGATTTAAAAAAAATTTAGAATTCATTTATAATATTCGGAATTTTTTCATATGTATTATATCATAATATTTTTCAATGAATTCACAAAGTTCTTTTGTATATAGTTGCCAATATATATTGATGTTTAAGAATTATAAAAATTAATAGAGATTTAATTAATTATGATTATATTTAATTATGTGTTTTTAAAATCAGAATAGTAGATACATTTATCAATATATTCATTATATAATACTTAAGAATTTATGACTTTTTTATTGCAATTCAATCATACATACTTTAATGCAAATTAAAAAGAACAGATTGTGTTTAATTTGTATAATCATTATTGCTTCAAAATTAGTTTTAATAATAAAATATTAAGATTAATTATTATTATTATTATTATTATTTTAATATATACAATGGATCTTTCTCATTTGATAAAAAATATTAATCACATAGAAGCTGTAATTTTATTATATAATGAAACAAAGTCTAATAAAAGAGGTGTGACAGAAGGATGTAGTTAGGGTTTTGATAGTGATAAAAATTGGAACTTGGTAAAGCAAGACTGCCATAAATCTACCACTGGACTAACCTTTTAAATGAATAAAAAATTAATAATGCTAGTCATTTTGAATGAAGAATATAAGCACACTTTAAAGTTTCCAATATATCTCCTTCAATTGGTAACTTAGCCCAAATATTTTTTTGTCAATGAGTAGCCTAATCCAAAATATAGTCCACAAAAAGGTAGATGAATAGCCAAGGCTAAAATAGCTGGAATAGCCAAAGAATTATATAATGATATGATACAATCAAGCAACTTTTATGCAAGGAATAAGTAAGCCTATGTCACTATCACTACCAGAAATGAAACCCAAACTTGTTGCATCATAGTGCAACACCTTTATTATAGAGCAACCTTTATAACACATGCTTTTTTCTTGGAAAGGTTGAACATTTATTTAAAAAGGTGGTTCTACCTCCCTTCTCAAAACCCCGTGGATGATACTCCGGACTCATTTGGATGAAATTACGCGAGGAGATTTTCATCCGTCCGCCCAACTGCGGAACCCGTGAAGCAAGCACTAGCGCACATCGAACAGTAAGCCCATACTTTCTTGTTGTTGCTGGTCCATCTGCTTCGGCTCGTCGTCTGCGATTGTGTTTTTTGAAGCTTCCAAGCTTTTGCTCAACTGAGTTTCGGCAGCCTTCTTCCGTCGGCGTGTTGCGCAGACCGTCGGAGGAGACCCAATTTCGTTGCAAAGCAATAGATGTCACTGAATGGAATAGCGTCTCCGAACCTTGTAACGGATTGCAGAGCCATGTCCGTCAGCAGCTACGGATTGCAAGCCTGTGGCCGTGGTTTTGTTCCCCCGAATGGACTGAGTGGGCGGTGGGGTGGCTCCCATCGAGGCGTAGAGGCTAGTCGCCGCTGTGTGCAGAATGGGTACTTCGTATCGCAGCTGCTTCCTCTCGTGCAGGTGCGTGTGGATTGTCATTCCAACCGAGCGCTATCTCAAACTGTGGGTATGTCCACGAATCATCCCAACGTCGCTTTATGTCCTGGTTTGCTCTACATGTTGTTATTTGGTTTTTCTGAGGACCGGTTGTGGCATTGAATTTTATGGTTAATTGTCAAATCGTAGGGAGGGTCAGCAGTTACGGCGCTACATTCGGAGAGCGTTGTCACAAAGCGCAGAGTTCATTAAGAAATGCCGCGTATTCCAGTGGATTACTCTCCGTGGATGATTCCGAGGAGGACGTTTCAGACGACGAAGGCGATGCGTGGTTAGTGCACGAGGTCACCACCCCCTTCAACCAAATTACGGTCCTGGAGGTCGACGAAGCGGCGGACCATGAATTGGCGGGCGCTTATGTTTTGAAGCTCGACAATGCCGACCTCGCGCACAGCGTTTTCTGGAGCAATGGCAAAGTGTGGACAATTGGCTGTCATGATGTGTTCGCTTCGTTGCCGCCACTGCTACCTGAAGGTCGTATTGGCATTCTAGGTCTTGGCGCGGGGACAGTGGCACGCCTTCTACTCCACATATGGCCGTCTCTGCACTTGGAGGGCTGGGAGCTCGACCCCGAGGTAATCCGCGTTGCTCGCGATTATTTTGGACTCGCAGACCTAGAATCACCTGAAGATTCACCGGTACAAGCAAAGGAAACCAGCCCCGGATCGTCGAAGAAGATGAAGAAGAAGGGACGGTTGGTTGTGCATACAGGCGACGCCCTTGGCCCTCAGGCGAACGTGAAGGGAGGCTTCGCGGGCATCATGGTGGACATCTTCATCAACGGCGCGGTCTGCGAGGAGCTCGCGGAAGTGCGCACTTGGGAGAAGCTGAAGAGTAGATTGCGGCCCAGGGGACGCATCATGGCGAACTGCATTCCGAATCGCAGCCATCTGGAGGAAGGAGATGGCGATGTCTCCAAAGAGTGGGACGAGATGATGCACAAGATTTTGCGAGCTATGGAGATTGTCTTTCCTGGAGAGGTGAGTGTCCGGGAGCTCACAGACGGCAACAATGTGATGTTATTGTCTGGTGAGGTGCCCGACGGGCAGATGTGGGCGTCCAAGGTGCCGGATCGATTGAAGGAGGGAGTTCACGAGTGGAGGGCTTGGGATGAGTCCCACCCTCTTTACGGGGTGAAGCTCAACTTGCAATAAAACGAGTTTTCCTATTACTAAATCTGTGGGATGGTAATGCCTGGTGCTGTAATACGCAAATTACAGAGCTCGCCCAACTGCTGCGTTTCTCCCAAAACACATAATCTTTATCCTGTAATGTCTGTGTATCAAATGAGCTCTAGTCCCTAGGGCCAGAATTATAGCGCTTGTTCTTGAATCCTGAGGAGTGAACTTGGCATACTGGCCTTGCTTCTCGAACTGCAAGCATTGTAGTGTTGTCGCACCCAATGCGCACCCTTTGCTTCAACCCGACATCTCTCAAGTGGAACCCCGCAACACATTTTCCTCTACTTCGTGGTAAAAATTACAGTGTTCTTACTCCCACTCGTCACGCCCTTCGACAGATACAAAAAAACGTATGGAATTGGTCATCAGTATGCGGTGGCATCTACAAGCTGCTGCACCAACAAACTTGCGGAATGGCGGCATCCGGATGAGGAAGAAGCATATGCTGAGCAAACCAGTCAAGCTATTTGATCATTTTGACTGAGAATTTCTGCTCTAACTCATTGAACCCACATGAAACCCTAAAGTAGTGATCAAAACTTCATCCCAGCACCTTGAGATTCAACTCCAAAACCTTGAGTTTAGCACTGCCAAATTCAATCTAGTAAAAACTTAAATCTAGAAGACCAGTATTTCTACTTGCCCTACTCCTTGCTGATGTTCAAACAAGCATTGCACCTCATTGGAACTCCATGGTTTTAATGGAGGGCATTAAATCAGATAGATGATTTAGCTGATAGATAGGAAATTTATCTAAGGAGGTAGTTAGGTTTAAGAAAGAAGAGGGAATGTCAAAAAATTAAAAATTTGTGGCTGGTTGAAATTGAGAAATCTTTCTTTATAGATTCTATATTTTGGACATTCAACTAAAAAATATAAAAGATTAAAATGAGGTGGGATGTATTTCTTTTTCTATTTGATATCACTAGTGTTGTCTTCCAAAATTGTGTTAAGCTATTAAGGATATGAACATCAAAGAATTAAAAGGTCATCATACTCTTATGTCACTAAAAATGACTAGAAAATCACTCAAAGAAAATATTGTATTAAATTAAAATGGCTATTGCCAAAGACAAAGAAACTAAAAAGTCTTGAAACAAGACTAAGAATTAGAAAGGCGTTGATGAGAGTGAAGAAGGCTTTACTCTTGCCTCTATATATACTATCTAATTAGAAGCTACAATGCGATATTCTACAGGACCTTCAACACATGTTGACTTTGTTAAACACATATCTTAACTTGCAAAGCAAGTTATCTATATGTGCACCATATAGTTAGCTTGTTCTACAAGCTACCACCATGTGTAGCACATGATTAACTTGTTGGCCAAGTTTCTAATCTACTAATCAACTATAAATACATGTAAAGTTAAAACCACATTTATGAAGCTTTTAGAAAGCTTTTCTAGAAGATATTATAAAATTAATCTACATTCACTTATTTCTATTTAATCTTATAGGTAATCATTGGAATAAATACATATATCTGAGGCATATTATTCTTCTTCTAGACACAAGTTCTATAAGAAATAGTCATCATCTTTCATAGATCTTGCAATTCTTTATCTTGATTTTGATGGATATTGTTGATGAAAAGCCTCAATTCTTTTCATTGCATTTACAAGATTTTTTGTTCACTTGCTTGTGCATTAATATCATATCTACGCCAATAAACAAGATATTTCAACCTATTTAGGTGCCACCTTAAATCGAAGATTCTTCTATCTCAAACTAATGATCATTTTTGAATTCTATAAAAAAAAGTGGCATTTTTCTTCTTTTTGAGATATTCACTATCTTATATGGCTCAAAGAGAGAGACATGCCATATAGGATGGATCTTCATAGACTCTAACAGATATAATCAATAAATAATATGATTAACTTCTTCAAAAATAAGAAAAGGTCTAAGCCTACAATAATCTAACTTATTACAAAGAGAAGTAGTATTGACATTGTGACAAAGTAACCATATCTTATCACATACATTAAATTGTAGTTGTTCTTTGGAATAAACATCCACGTTGATCTTTTATTGTTCGTGAGCTTTCTTTAATTCCACCTTCATTGTTGTATGTAGCCCTGATAAATAATTTGCCAAATCTTTTGTTGCAAGATTATCAACTTTTGAAAAGTTAAAAGTATCAAGCTGTATATCATAATCATAATTAGGAAAAAAAGATGTTTGTTAAAAAGAAGAATGTATCGAATTATTATACGCAAATTCTATCATTGGCGAAAGAGTTGTCTAATCATCGTAATGATAGTTGATGGCATATCTCAAATACTGCTCTAAGACTTGATTCACCCATTTTGTTTATCTACTAGTTTGAAGATAATAAGTTAAGAAAGTTTTATATCTACTTTTAAAATCTTAAAAAATATTTTTTAAAATCTTAATATAAATTGAGTCCTCTTTTCTAATATAATATCCTTAGATAATCTATGATAGCAATAAATGTTGTCAAAAACAAGCTTAGATGTTCTTTCACTTTAATAGATTTTGTATATGATACAAAATGTGCTATCTTAGTAAATTGATCAACTATCACAAATATAGAATCATACAAACTTGAGGCAAAAAGATTTATAATAAAATCTATAGAAATAAAAGACTATAGTTGTTTTAGAATAGATAATAGTTGACAAAGTCTATAAGATCAATGACAAGGACTTTTGAATCTTGAACAAATATCACATGATTGTACAAAGTCTTTAACTGCTTGTTATATTCGAAGCCACTAAAATCTCTAGATATAAGCTCTAAAGTCTTATTGTATTCAAATTATCTCGCTGTTGAAAATTCATAATAATCTTGAAGAATACGTAATTGTGATTTATCTTTTAGATTATATAATTATTTCTTAAAATAGAATAAATAATTTATGAACTTATACTTAGAAATATCATAAGACTTAGAAGAGTTATTCTTAATAATATAAATAAGAGGATCATAGGACATACTTGATTGAATTTTCTTTACAAAAGTTGAATCAATAATCAATATTGATTTTATTATTTGGAGATGAAAATGCTCTATCTTCAAGAAAATTATTTTTTATTCATCAAAATTTGTGTTTCTTTCTTTTGATGAAATACAAGAATGTTTAAAAAAGATGTTTAATAAATCTTGTTATTTTTTGGATTAATAAGTAATTTTGAAATCAAATCTTGATAAACATATGCTCCAATGGGCTTGGCAACAATTCAAAATACATGCCAACATGAAGTACTTAAGATTCTTAAGATCTATATATAGAGTGATTGATTTCAAGGCATCTTTTAGATAATGACATCATTCTTGAAATGAATCTATAATTGTAAAAATATCTTCATCATGAATTTCATAATTAATCTCAATTATTAAAAATCTTAGAATAAAAAGCTATCTAATGGAGTTCATCATCTACTTCTATTTTTGCCAAAATAATACTTATAGCAAAGTTTGATGCATCTATTTCTATGAAGAATGCCTTGAAAAAATCGACGTTGTATAAAATTGGAGCAAAAATAAATGATGTCTTTAAAGCTTAAAAAGATACTTCAACTTCTTTACTCCACTCAAGTTTATCTTTACATGTCAAATGTATAAGAGGAGTCACAACTCAAAAAAATTTCTTGATGAAGATCTTATAATAATTTGTAAATTCTGAAAATCATTGCATATCTCTAATTGTTTTTGAGATTGTCCAATCCATAAGAGTTTGAACCTTCTTTGGATCCACCATTTGTTCTTTGTTGGAAATAATATACTCTAAAAAGTCAATTTAAGCAGTGTGGAATATGTACTTTTTTTTTATCTTGGCATATAATCCTATATCTCTAGATTTTTGTAAAACATGATAAATATAAGGTTCATGTTCTTCTATATTTTTAGAATAGATTAGAATGTTATCTAAGTAACAAATAACAAAATCATCAAAGAACTCTTGAAAAACATCATTCATGAGATGTTGAAAAGTAGTTGGTGCATTTGTGAGTCTAAAAAGCATGACATTATATACAAAGTATCTATACCTAGTTCAAAAGCAATCTGTCAAGGATATGAATCTCGAAGAAAGAAATACTCAATATAGTCTTATATTAGTAAAAATAACTAAAAAATTATTCAAAGATGATATAATATTGAACTAGAATGGCTATTGTCAAAAATGAAAAGACTAAAAAGTCTTAAAATAAGACTAAGGACTAAAAAGGTATTGACAAGAAAAAAGAAGGCTTTACTCTTGCTTCCATATGTACTCTTAATTAGGAACTATGAAACAATGTCCTGTAGGACCTACAAAATATATTAACTTTATAAGACATGTATCTTAATTTGTAAGACAAGTTTTTTAAATGTATGCCACATAGTCAGCTTTTTCTCAAGCTACTAAGATATAGTTAACTTGTTGATCAAATTTTTAACCTATCAATCAACTACAAAGATATGTAAAATCAAAGCAACATTTATGAAGCTTCTAGAAAGCTTCTCTAAAAGATATCATAAAATTAATCTACTTTTATCTATTTTTATCTACTTCTATCTAATCATATAGATATTTACTAAAATACATATGTATATTTGTCACATTACTCCTTCTTCTAGGGATGAGTTCTACAAAGAGCATTCATCATATGTTGATGAAATTCAAGATGCGGCAAATTATATTTGCTACATATTCTAATTTTTGTTCTCTTTGAAGATGGTTGATAGGTCTTCTTAGCCATCAATAGTATTCCATATTAAGGCAAAAGACCATCCTATTATTTAATTATTGTTGATGCCTTTGTAACTTTCTTCAAATAAAATATTTGAAATACCTTTATATGTTATTCCTACTTCTAATAAAATCACCAAACATTGGAGGTCTCTTTTAAGATCATGATACCAAATACATTGTATCTCACTATCTATTTGAAGAAGAATATGTCATTCTTAAGGATCTTCATCTTGATTACATGTCTTGAAAGTTGTGACAATCACAATGTTTCATTTAATAAATCAGCAAGTGAA